TATATATACACACACACACACACACGCACACGCACCCATCAATCCATTGTTCTACCACTTATTCAGGGTCGGGTTGCGGAGGCTACAGCTTTGGAGGAAAGCCAAGTCTTCCCTCTCCCCAGCTACTTCTTCCAGCTCTTCCCAGGGATCCCGGAGAGACGTAGCCTCTCCAGCGTGTCCTGGGTCGCCCCCGGGGCCTCCTGCCGGTGGGACATTCCCAGAACACCTCACCAGGGAGGCATCCAGGAGGCATCCTTATCAGATGCCCGAGCCACCTCATCTGGCTCAGCGGCTCGGCTCTGAGGCCCTCCCGGATGACCGAGCTTCTCACCTTATTTCTCAGGGAAAGCCCGGACACCCTGCGGAGGAAACTCATTTCGGCCTCTTGTATACAGGATTGCGTTCTTTCGGTTACGACCTATACAGCTCGTGACCATAGGTGAGGGAAGGAGCGCAAATCTACCTACCGGTAAATTGTCGATCTCCTGATCCCTACTGCCCTCTGTGTTGTTCATCTTAATATGATGAGGCATCATTTAGTGAACAAATGAGCCTGAGCTCAACTTTATTGTTGCCAGCACGAATGGTGATCTGAAGCCTTGTCATATGCCATCAACTCTAAACCTACAGCGCCCTCTATTGACTATATGTATCACAATCACATATCAAGATACCCTCACTCGTGAACAACAATAATAATAATACATTTAATTTGAAGCGCCTTTCACAACACCCAAGGACACTTTACAGACGATCAAACAATAAGACAAATAAAACCACAGATAAAATTATAAATACAAGAGATATATTTAAGTGGAATAAGCCAGTCTGAAAAGGTGAGTTTTGAGCTGGGTTTTGAATGTGGGAAGAGAATCAATGTTGCGAATATTGGGTGGAAGTGAGTTCCAGAGTTTGGGGACAGAGCGGCTGAAGGCTCTGCACCCCATTGTGCTGAGACGGGCAGAGGGTACAGAGAGATGGAGGGAGGATGAAGACCTGAGTGAGCGGGAAGGGATAGAGATCTGAAGATCTGATAGATAGGGGGGGGGCAAGTTTATGGATGGCTTTGAATGTGTAAAGGGGTATTTTGAAGTAATTTGATTGATTATATCTTTGTTTAACGGGGAGCCAGTGGAGCTGTCGGAGGATGGGGGTGATGTGATGGAAGGAGGGGGTTCTCGGAATGATCCGGGCTGCTGAATTCTGAACAAGTTGAAGTTTATGGAGAAATTTGAGTTGGACGCCGAAGAGAAGTGAATTGCAATATTGCAATACTTAAACTCGTCCCCTTGGGGCTAAGATCTCATCCCTTATGCCGTGCACTTTACATATAAATATAAAATTAAATAATAAAAAAATAAATATTAAATTAAATAACTTTTTAATTCTTTTCAGTCGAGTCATTTTGTGAAAGATCGGCGCTAATTAACCGCCAGGTGTTAACGTCTTCTGATGCAAGCAATCACACTAAGCAGCGCCAGCTGCGTAAGACTTGCTCACCTGATGAGAGCCAGAATTCGCCAGTGTGAACCATCCATAAGAGCGTTTACTGTCAGGTAAGCGACAACAGTGATTTTATTTGCCCAAATTTATTTTGACAAACTGTCGAGCAGTTTTGATCTCACAGTGGGCCTGAAATAGCGAAAGCATGCTGTACTGTACTACTGCTTCTTCAGAGTCACTTAAACTCTTCTAATGTCACATGAAATTTGCCATCAGTGTACAATAAATTAATTTAAAAAGTTAATAAGTACATTACTGTACATATATTTCCAGCGACACGTACACTGTACATTCATATACTCGGTAAATGAAAGTCAATGCTGAATTTTGAAGCTGTTCGTGTCGTGGAAAAAGATGCCTTAAAAATACGTTCGACGTCACTCATAAAAAGGGCGGACTTTTTCGATATATTTTTAGAGAGTTTTCATAGGTTTGGGGGTCTGAATATCATGTCGCACGAGACAAAGATCGCGACAGTGCCATCGATATTATACATGAAAATACATTCGACGCTGCTTCAAAAAGTTCAATACACTTAACTCACATTGGAACACCAAAACACTAGCATAATGTATTCTGATTTAACTGGCGCTATTATGCTTTTATTGTATGTCAGGATGTACCATTGCTTTCAACCTCTAGTCCCCTAAAACGCACGATAACAAGTATCCAAAGCAGGAGCAGCATTTTATATGCAGCTCTTATTGGACCTGAGTCGAAAAACTATAAACATTTTGTATTTAACTTTTTAGATGACGTTTATGTACAATACTGTGGAAGCATCGTACAAGATACACAACCTCAATGATTGAAGGCACAATCTAGCAAAGATTTTCAATCATCACAATGGTCAAAATTATACATACAGGTTCATATATATATTTATACACTTGCACATTAACACATACACACACACTAACACACACACACACACACACACACACAAAATTAAGCTGCCATGCATGTTTTTGGAATGTGGGAGAAACCCGGAGAAAACCCACACAGCACAGGGAGAACATGCAAACTCCACACAGCCCGGAACCGAACCCTGCACCTCTGCACTGTAAGGCGGGCATGCTAACCAGTGACCCACGGTGTCGACCGGTATAACGTTTTGCGAAAGTAAATTATTAAAATACCTAAATTGACATTAATGGCCTTGTGTGTGTGTAAACTTGGGACAGCAACTGTATATTTTTTCTGCATTAATTCCTTTAATAACTTTTCATGAATATGTCATAATTAGGTGTTGCCGTCCCTCAAACTTTGGGCAGTGATTAAAAGAGCTCAATTAGTTGCTCTAACTCCATTGTTTTATATGTAAACACATTATTGTTGTTTTCTCTGTGACGCTCCTCTGAAACTAGTTACATCAATTAGAAATACCATGACTTTTATTGATAGATTCCCCATAGTCCCCCTCAAGGAATGCCATACAGCACATTTGTTGTGCACTTATCTTAAAAACTGTTTGTTCATGATGCAGATATGAGCGCGGGTCAAAGGTCACAGGTGGCCCTCTTTGAAAGCCATCAAAGGGAAGCAGAACAAGATGCCTCCGAATCTGCAGTCCTCTACCTTTTCCACGAGGTTTCCAAACTTGAGGCCTCCTTGCAAAGTGGTGTACTGGACACCGGATCGCTGAATGACAGTCAAGATGAAAAGGTTGAAAGGGCTCAAGCCTCCGTCAACCCGAATTTGTTGTCAACTTATGAACACAATGAACGGCTGGTGTGCGGCAAGGGCGAAATTGAGTCCCCACCTGGAGGCCACAGCCCTTGGAGAGTGTTGAGTCTGATCAACCTGCAGTGTGAGAGGCTCATGGATCTCGGAGAAGAGCATGCAGACTCGAGATTGTTTTTTCCCACCGAATGTGGTGTCGCCTCTGCACACAAATCAGGAACTGGTGCCAGTGTTGAATGCACTTTGAGACCATCACCCGTTGCAGGGATCGCCACTTGTGGCGTGCCGGTGGTTGATGAGCAAGAGAATTGCTTTGCTTCTAAAGCCGAGACTGGTGACAAAGAGATGACTTTTCGTGGGCCACCACCGATGCTTGACAAAGACGCAGCAGAGGAACAAGCTCCCGTGTCCTCTCGGCAATCTAAAACACAGCCAGTGTCGAGTGTTGACATGTTGGAGGGGAGTCATGACCGCTCCTCCGCGGAACATCACAATGCTGACACCCATGTCTTTGAAAGTTCTTTGTCCCTTGTGCACATGCCTGATACATCCCTTAATCGTGAAAAGGATTTTGACTCAGACAGCGTGAAGCGAACATGGCCAGCTGGCACCCTCGACCACAATGCAAACCTAATGTTGGGCAGTCATTGGCCCTCCAAACCAGATGACGGCATGCTGCCATCAAAATCACACAGTGCACATGCGCCCATTGAGGAAAAACCGCAGCGCTCTCCCGCCACCACAGTGACCTCACACTTGAGGTCAAAGGAGGGAAGTGCAACGCCCGTGGCTCAGCACTTGTGGAGAAACAAAACGGCTAGAAAGCAAGCCAATCCCAGTCGCAGCGGCGATATCCATGACCCGCGCTTCCAGGGAGTCGCATTCCGGATGAACGCAGAGCTGAATGGCAGCAGGCAACAGTGTCGGCTCCGCATCACATCCAAGTACAGGTGAGGACACGCCAGTATACAATAGAAGGATGCCTGGTGATGCACATTGTATCTACAACTGCGTGTAACAATCGTTCTGCTTCGTGTCGTCTCTCTCGCTCTCTCCACCTTAGCAAGGTGCACTGCAGGAGCTTGTGGAAACAGAGGAGGAGGACTCAAACATCACGAACGACCAGCAACTCTGAGGAAGACAGTGAACCTAGTGCCTCGGGTACTTGCATTGGACACAAGTCAAGCCGCTGTCACTTTTGCTGCTGTATTTTGTCTTTTAGTTTAAAAAAAAAAAAAAAAAAAAAACGAATAATTTTCAAACATGTGAAATAGTGTTTTAACAAAATTGGCAAAATTACAAAACCAATTCAAATTAAGTCGGAATGTGTCCAACAAAAATAGAAAACAATGGTTTGCAAATCATGCTCAACCTATATTTGATTGAATACACTACGACGAGATAAAAAAAACTTTTTTTTTTAAATTGGGTTGCAAAAAATTCGCTTGCACAAATTTCCACCGATTATGTTCTTTAGAAACATACATCATTTCACTTTGCAGGGTCTTTAAACTTGCACGTTGCAGCAAAAGAGGCGAGAGTTCTCATTTTTACTATTAGTTGCATATTTTTTGTTCTAAATATTTTCATTTGTTGTTGATTGACTTCTAAGTCTACGGTTGCCACAGCGAGTGATGCACATGATTTGTTTGGCAGTTTATACACCGGATGTGGGAGGCTAGGAAAAAAGTATTTTGACTTTATATAATTTTCTGGTGATTTTTTTTACATATTTTCCCCACTAGGAGGCGCTGCTCCACAACTATTATTTGCAAACTGGCTTTCAGCTGATACATTTGGACTAAATACATTTTCTGAGAAGTTCACGTTACTGTGCCTGATTGGGAATCAAAAGTGGTGAACTCACGCGTGTTGACTGTCACTAGGGGGCAAAGTTTGTGCGTCGTGCTGTACCAGAAAGACCCCCATGTGGAGAGATGCAGAAGATGGGACCCCTCTCTGCAACGCTTGCGGCATAAGGTATTTAATTCTTATCAATATTAACACACATTACTCACACTGTAGTTAAAAATAAAATGTTCCTTAAAAAAAAATCATGTATTCATTCAGTCCTGCATTTTCTTGCACTTAGCTTGGATAGGGTCAGAGTTTAGCTGGACTCTATTTCAGCTAACAGGGCGAAAGGTGGGGTTCACCCAGGACTGGTTGCCAGTCAATTGCAGGCAATAGCATACATTAGTTTTTTTTTTCCTTGATGCGTATTGTATTTTTGAAAAATTCTTTTGTTGTTTCAAAGGTACAAGAAGTACAGGGTACGCTGCGTCAACTGCTGGCATATCCCGAGAAAGGAAAGCAACTCCAACTCACACTGTCTCAAGTGTGGACATTTTGTGAGAGTGACCTCCACTCAGTACAAACACACCACCTAAGAGTACATCGACCCCCCCCCCCACTTCATGGCCCTATGCAAACTCATGAACACCTTATTTCACCGCTTACCCACATGTTGTAAATTCACCACGACATGAGAAATCGCCATTGCAGAATTCACGGTCAGCAGCACAAGTGTCTCTCTATCCTACTGTGTATTACATTTGCTTCAGTATTGCAAAGTTGCTCTGATGGCTAATTTCGCGCCAACTCAAAGGCACATCAGAGTAAACAAATACTGACGGTTAAAAATAAGAATAATAATTTTAAAAACTGACAGCTCTTAAATTAGCTACATTCACAGGAGGAAGATGTCTGTCTATGAAAACACTTTAGAGTGTAAATGTTTGTTGTGGCTGTTAAGTTAAAGATCTAAATTAACGTTTCAGCGGATCTTTGGGAAGAAATGTGATGTGGACACTCGCCGAGGGTCAATCGTTAAGCTGCAAATGTCTCAAAACATGGAATGCTGGTGCATTCATCTGCCATTTACTGCAGAAACTCTCTCCACGTAACAGCCAAATTGTGTTTTGTGGCACTCAGGAACTGATGCTCCTTTTTTTTGTTGTTTTTGTCAATGTGTGCATTGAGGTGGTTTTTTTTTCCTTTATTTGGGTTGAGTGTGGTTTTGGGGTGGTACTGTATTTTATGACTAGCTTATGAGGGTCACTGGTTTTCTTGGTGTGCATGTTTGTGAGGATATAAAAAGGCAATTTTGTGTGAACGTTGATGTTGTTGGTCTGCATTAAAATTTGTGTGAATAGCCCATTGTTGCCTCATTTGGAGCACAGATCCAATATTCAAAGCACATTAATTACAGTCGTCTAAGAGGAGTGGTGGTATATTTAGTACCGTAGGACCAATTGCAAACACACGAGCGGGAGGGAAGCGGTGTGCGTTAAACACGTCACCGTTCTGTGAGCCCGCATGCAGTGTGGCGCTCTCGCCACAGTGGGTGGCCTCACATGGACGGATGCTGCGCAAACTATTGTTTGATAAAACCGATGACGTCTTTCTCTAATTCCAAACAGCCAAAGAGACTTTCCTCTCTTGACTTTGCCAAAACATCCACCAAGGACGAGCGCCAAAGGAAATGAGCTGAATGAGCCAAGAACATTAAAAAAACACAGGCCTGTTAAAATCAAGGTTTTATTTTAAAATCAAGCATCATAATCCACCAATCTCACCTGCTGTGCTCAATTCGAACATCAAATATAAACAACGGTTACGGCACGAATACCATCTCAAATAAACACTTCAAATTTTCCCCCTCGTGAAATAACAACAGATGGTATTTTATACAATGTGTAGCCTGCAGAGCAGACTTTGTCTGTACAGCTGAAGTTGGTGGGTCGACTTAGTTCTTCTACACTATATCTAGCACCGAATCTGTACAGCTGAAGTTGGTGGGTCGACTTAGTTCTACATTATATCTAGCACCGAGCACTCCAGAGCAAATAACGCAAACTCTTTTACTGACAACCCTCCGCAAAATCTTTTGGTTATATGTATGTAGACAAGTTATACTATGGAGCCCTTGTGTTCACAGGGAACGGGGACCGGGCCAAACAGTGAAAATCCACAAATAATTTCTACACATTCGATTGTGTTCTGTTTTTTGTTTTTAACCCCCCCCCCCCCAATTCTCGAATCAGAGGGATTGTACTGCCAATAAGTGTTTTCCATCAAAAACAGGCTTCTCCGCTCACCCCAAAATTACAGTACTTCTGGAGAAAAAAATCTGCAAATATAGCAAAAAAAAACGACAAATAGTTGTTGACAACCATTTGGTTTTATTTTTTAACCCCCAAAAAAAGTCTTCAGCAGAGTTATACCACAATAAGCCTTTTCCATGAAAAATGGCTTTTTGACCCTCCTAAAACGCACAATTATTCAAGAAAATATTGATAACAATTCTGAATAGCGAAAATTCACAACTTGACACCCATTCCGTTGCATTATTGTAATTTTTTTCAATGAGGGGTTGTACCGCAAATCAGCATCTTCACCCCTAAAACATGAACAAGTCTTGCTAAGAAATCCTCAAACAGCGAACATCCAAGAGTCATTGATGCCCATTTAATCAAAATGGGTTGGAATGATTGTTCCAATATTCCGGCAAGAATTCTTCAAAAAGCGGTAACATACTGCCAATAAGCGTTTTCCACAAGAAACATGTGTCTTACCCTTCCCCCCCAAAAACACCTTTAAATATTGAAAAAAAAATCCATAATTAGGTGAATCCATGGGTGCCTACCCACGAGTACGTGGGGGTTTACTGGACTGTCAGGAAGATGGAGAGCACCTCACTGGATTGAGAAGGTTGGCGAGTTCTCATTTGTGGAAATGATTGATTTGATTTAAAACGGTATTTTATTAATATACATTATTTTATATTTTGTCACTCAACAGCAGCCGATGGGACATTTTGTTCTGCATTTACACGATGTAGCTAAGTTGAGTACCCCTGACCACAATTTCTGCATGCATCTAAGTACTGTCAAAACAGAAATTTAAAAAGCTTAAAAAAAAAAAAAATCCGGTTTCTTTATTGGATCTCATCAGATTGCCACCATTATATGGGATGCCTCAGGGGCTGTTTGAATGAGGTAGTGCTGTTGAGGTGAGGAGGAGGAGGAGTAAAAAGAGGGGAGGTCGGGGGGGGTTAAAAATCAAAGATGCAGTCAACTGAATCAAAGCAAGGGAAAGTTGTGCTTTGGCTTCAGCCACTTTGGACCTGCTCACACCGAGGACCATGACTTTGGACTGCAAAGCTACCGAGCATGTGCACCTCGACTTTGGCGGTGGGGAGCAGAAAGACGCAGATCTCTCAGTGCGGGAACACCAGAGAGACTTGACGGTCCGACTCTGCGGCGTCTCCGGCCGCACTTCTTCGGTGAAGCCCCCTTACTCTTACATTGCCCTCATCACCATGGCGATCCTCCAGAGCCCCAAGAAGAGACTCACACTCAGTCAGATCTGTGACTTCATCAGCCAGAACTTTGCCTACTACCGGGACAAGTTCCCCGCGTGGCACAACTCAATCCGACACAACTTGTCTCTAAACGACTGCTTCGTCAAGGTCCCGCGAGAGCCCGGCTTTCCCGGGAAGGGAAACTTCTGGACTTTGGATCCCATGTCGGCCGATATGTTTGCGAATGGCAGCTTTCTTCGGCGGAGGAGACGCTTCAAGAGACAGCATCAACACTGCAAGAAGGTTAAGGACTCTGCCGTGCCAGTGGCTCTCCAACCTGCACCCGCCAGAATTCCGCTCCTCCAACCGGAGCCGTACCACCACCTGAGCCTTGGAAGTTTTTTAAACACTCTGACCGGTCCCGTGAGTCCGCCAGTAAGAACCTTGATTCCTGCTCTGTCTTTCCTCCTCTCCAAGGGATTGCCATCTTGTTTGGACATCTGCACTGCCATGCAGCCTTTGGACGGGACCTTCCCTTTGACCCACGCCGTCTCTATTCACGGGAGGATGCCTAATTACGTTTTTATGGACCCGAAAACACTCCTCTTGCTTTAGCACTGCAATTGTTTGACGCTCTTATGTAGGATATTTTATATACATCTTAGATTTGATGGGTTTTTTTTCCCTGCCAATTCAGGAATGAATCATTTAACACCTATTACACAATAAAAGATTTGACTTATTTCAACGCAGCTTCAGTTTATTAAAGTGCACTGTTAGTATCATGAACTACAAGAGGAGCCTTGCATGTAGTTTGCTTTGTAACACGGATGAGATTTTCAAAGTCATACAGTGGATATAAAAAGTCTAGACCCCGCCGCTGTTCAAATGCCAGGTTTCTGTGATCATAAAAAATTCGACAGATCTATTATTTCAAAGTGTTTTCCACCATTGTAACCTCTAACCTGGACAACTCAATTAAAATTAGTTTTGGAGGGAGGGAATAAAAAAAAAAAACGGTTGTGGATGCACAAGTGTGCTCACACGTTTATTTTTGTCGTCACACCTCAGAAGACAAGCCGTGGTGCAACAGAGAACTTCCACCGCATCGGATGGATGTCCTTCAAAAATTTGGCATTTGAACCCGGGGTGTGCAGACTTTTTGTACCCATTGTATTTTTAATACTGGCATAAGTTTAATTTTTCAAAATCTGCCTCAAATGGTTCCAAGCAGCTGGCTTTCTTGTAACCTTTTGCAACAAGGTCGAACAGTATTCTGTATCTCATAAGACTGAAATATACAGTACACTGTCGTTTGTTGAGAAATGTCAAGAGTTTGAGTACAGTTCATTCAAAGCAATAAAAGTGAAAACCATGACACCATAAAATAAAGTATGACTTGTTCTTGTAATTAGTCATTTTTTTCTCATCTTTCATAAGGATGCAACGTTAATAGATCTGACTGATGTGTCATCACATTGTGACGTCATCAGTTTTCAAGAAAGGTGTATAAAAATGCCGTGGGAGCATTTAGGTCCATCTTTGACAAAACAAAATTTTGGGTGCACCAGATATTTTGCCCAATGTCAGTTTTATATCAGTCAAAATGTCAAGAGTTTGAGTACAGTTCATTCAAAGCAACAAAAGTGAAAACCATGACACAATAAAATAAAGTATGACTTGTTCTTGTAATTAGTCCTCTTTTCTCATCTTTTATAAGGATGCAACATAAATACATGCGACTGATGTGTCATCACATTATGACATCATCAGTTTTCAAGTAAGGTGTATAAAAATGCCGTGGGAGCATTTAGGTACATCTTTGACAAAACCTCATTTCGGGTGCACCAGATATTTTGTCCAATGTCATTTTCATATCAGTCGGCTTGTTGGTGCGTATTAATTAGAAAAGATGACAAAGAGGCCTTTCTTAAATGGTCCAGACATGCACTCCCCAATATAACTTGCGCACTAAAACTACATTCACCTCGTCGGCTACACAAGGGCAATGTTGTTAGACACGCGCGCGCGCGCGCGCGCGCGCACACACACACACACACACACACACACACCCACACACACACACACACACACACACACACACACACACACACACACGGTATGAGGAACACTAATAGCGGCTAATAAGCACAGCATAAACCAAAATAACATTTAACAGTTCCAGGTAACGTGTACTGAAGTTGTCCACGTTTGTTTTTCCACACTGCCTCCTCGCTGGCGACATCCAAACACGCAGGGTCGGGCGAGGGCCAAAAGAGAAAGTCTTCCAAGTACAAACAAGAACACATAAATACAATTTGAAGTCAACGCACGGCATCTTGATGATGTTAAGATTGTTGGCTGGAGTTTTTATACAACCTTCATCGAAACACGGGAGACTTGTTCAAAAGATTGCCTTCAGTTAGTTCTGTAAACAGAAACTGAAAAAAAAAAAAGTGAATTGGTGAATCTGCTGGTGCGTTGTACGTTACTTTCATTGATATCTATGATTCCAAAAATGCTCCGTTGAACTCAAAAGAGTCATTTATGTGCAAGTCAAACATAACAAAATTAGAACACAGAAGTTGCTCTGTGTGCGCTTGAGTTTTTGTATCATTACAGTAACTCTGACACTGTGACTAGGAAATGCACAGAGCAAATGCAGAACAGGTTATTGCTTCAGTTTTGCTCAAAAGTTAAGTGAGTGCAGCGCCTTCATGAAGCAGATCTGCAGGCCTCGGAGCACATATGTCTCCAAGATGTTCTTCTTCCCTCCATTTCTTGTTTACTCCATCCTTTTCCCTTTGTGGCACGCGTGGTGTTAATCCTTCCCTCCTCCACCTGGACCGGACCACCCGCACACAAGCGGCCCACCAGCGCAGAGTCCGGGGACCCGTATCTCTCTGTACCACCCTTGGCAAAATTTTATGCAATCACCAGTCTTGGTGGATGTTCATCCACTTGTTTGGTTTGGTAGATACAAAGCAGGTCGCGGACATTTCTTTTGTTGTGCATTTTCTGTTTTCAAGACGTCTTGTTTTAAGGTTTCTGTCCTGACGCTTTGATGTCTTCCTTGGTATATCAGTAGGCCTTCCCATGTTGTTTGTACTTAGACCAGATTTTAGAAAGCAACCAACCATCTTTCGCAACAACGGCTGATAATTTGCCCTCATTAAGAAGTTTGAGAATTCTCTCCATTTTTTTTAACTGCACCCCCCAAATTAAGTAGCTGAATGAACATCCTCTGAGATTGGTGATTCCACACAATTTTTGCCAAGGGTTGTATTATGCAATCTAGTTCTATGGCATCAATATTAATGACATATTATGCCAGACAGATGCCACATATAATATTAATTGTCATGAAAACTGAGCATTATTATGTTTTATAAAGTTGCATTTCTTTTATTGGATTGGGGTTTATATTCCAAACAGGTGACGTAGATAGAGTACATTTGGACACAGATGTTTACTTTATTTGGGTTTATTCAGTGTTTACTGTCCATGTCGGAGCACTACAGTATCTCCACCCGTCGTTTCAGTAATGGAGGAGTCAATGAGATTCCACAGTTCAAAATATGCAGAATATCGGATGAAAAGATTTTAATTAAGAAGAAAATTGATGTCACCCCTGTGATGATGTCATCAAATTGACCTACTTTCAAATTGAAAACTCTCGAAAAATATTTTAATATTCAAAAAAATGATACTACTCATGTTGTATAATTTAATAAACAGTTTAAATATATTTCACCAGCAAGTGTAATGTCAATAATTAATCATAATAATACATTTACATAAAACACAACAACAGGGCCATGTATTTTTTTAATGTATTTTGAGGGGAGTTTTCAACTTTAAAATCAAATTGATCCACAACAAAAACAGGAAGGTTAATCATGTGTCCTGTTTTCTTCCTGTTTTTGTTTTGTGTGCAATCAGGCGACTGGTTCACTCATTTGTGGATTCATTTTAATAACGGGTGCAAGTACTGTGGGTCACGGGACGTTGAATTGATAAACCTTTGTCTCCCTCTAACGGCAAAATAATAAAATCACTGCACTCACAGCAATGGTTTGATTCGGCAAACTCGAAAAAACTTTCCCCAAAACAGTTCGTTCGGTGCCTTTACGAACATAATTACACATATCACAACCCCTAAAAACCTACTTTGATAAGTTTGGCGTGGAAAAACTTGCACAAAGCCGTCATAAACATCTTTGACATTAGAGGGCAGTCGGTGACATTCTTTTGGGAATGAATGGGCATTACACACAGATGCACTCCAATATTTTTGTCGGAATTCTTCCCTCAAGAGTAGAAGTTGTTAAGGCTGCTAAGAACAACTCATCGATGTCTTAACTTTTCACCTCTCATCATATATTTACAGTGACGTGAGGGGCTCACTTCAGGTAATAAAATAAAACATTATGGCAGGACAGATACTTCATACAACAACATATCAATTCGCGCAAACATGGAACAGAGGGACAATGAGAGAAGCGGGTGAGAGAAAGTTGGAAAGTGATGCGCCGTTTCCTATTATTACAGGATGGAGGTCGACAACATGCCACACTGCAACACAACTGTGGAATTTGGACTGTGCAAGCACAGATGATGAGAAATATGACAGCAATACGCAGTTGTTCCACACCGTGTCACCATGACCTGAGGGTACGCAACACACACACACACACACACACACACACACACACACACACACACACACACACACGCTATTTTATGTACATCGGAGGTTAATCCATGTTAAAATCAAATGGGATGTTGTCTTTCTGTTACATTGTTTGAAAAAGAGGAGTACACATTTCTGAAGCTATACCTTGTATGGCATCGGTGCCCAACCGACCTCCCTCGATCGACCCGCTACTGCACGTGCACGGATACACACACTCATGCCCTTATGAGCAACAGCCATAATGCCCGAACATGAACGAAACAAAAAAATTAAGTCGATACAAGAGCTTGTGAATGTGTAAATAGGAATCAGCGTTTACCTTAGTCGAGACGTGACCCGGCAGCATGGGACGCACTTTGCCAGCGTCTTCAGTGCAAAAAACGTCACTATCGTAGCTCACGTGTATCGTTTTAAATTTTTTTTCTCCTGGCACTTCAGATCCACTTTGTTTGCCAGCGCCATCGTTAATTGTACACGAAACAAACTTTGAATGAAGATAAGGAAAATAAAAAAAAAAAGATAAATGGCAATAGCTCTAATCGCAAAATGCTAGTGCAGACAGCTAACCGCTAACAACTTCCGGTGATGCAGGTCACGCGCAGCCGGAGGTTAAAGGTGACCTGCTTTGTTATATTATTTTTTTAAATACTTTTTTTTTGTGAAAGTGAAACTGAGAGGATGCTTACGGTGCAGTGTGCACTAACACAAAAATATAGAATATTATTAACACGCACACAGAGACACGTCTTTTTTTCTTTTCTTCACCTAAACCAGTGGTCCCCAAACTACGGCCCGCGGGCCGGATCCGGCCCGCCTCCGCATTTGGTCCGGCCCCCTGAAAATACCACAGAGTATTTTGATTTATTTTTCATCGATGTGGATTTGTCTTTGATCATAAAGTTGGGCTTTTGCAATAAAATGTTCCTTAGTTCTGAACCGTTTTCATGATTAACTATTAATTAGTAACTATTTCATAAACACAGATACAATAAGGTGACATTTGGTGCATATTTCTGTGCCGTTATCTGGCAATGCCAGAAAAAAAAAATCCGAAACCGGCCCCTCTCTCAGAGAACGGGATCATGGCGAAAAGGTTCAGTAAGAGAAAAATAGAATGCGGGGTATTTAACCCAAAGTGGACAAACGATGTTTTTGTTTCTTTCAGCGCAAAGAAACGTCTATCAGTCTCATCTGTCAAGAGGCGGCTTCATTTTGTGTGGGTTTCTGGAAAACAATCCATTTTTACATTTCCGTACTCTTGCGGCCACCCTTTTTCTGTTCCAGACTGACCCCGGCCCCCACATCACAGAAGCGAAAGCTTATGCGGCCCTCACAGGAAAAAGTTTGGGGACCGCTGACCTAAACCCACGATCCACTTGAGACCAATTCGACCTGTTTGTGAAGAATCTTAATTATCACCCAATATTTAACAAGATCCGTAAAGATAAATATGGATACAAAACACCTTGTTTTTATAAATCTTAGGATTGAAAGTATGATAATGATCACTTTTACAATATTCCTAGGAATTCACAACGACCCATGACTGTTGAGCGAATTTTAGAACCGGCCTGCAGGCGGTGCTTTGGAGTTACCTGCTCACCGCAGGTACCATGTTGGTGACCAATGGTTTATAATGTATTTCATGAAGTGTCCAGGGAGCGCAGTCTCGGTCTTCTCAGCGTAGCGTCCCTGGCTTGTGTCCAGCTGTTGATGAGGAAATTAGAGGGCGTGTTCAATCAAGGAAACAATTGATTGAGCCCATTATGTTCTCATTAGCCCCCCCTACTACCCGGCTGAAATCCCCTTGGCTGACTAAGGAAGTCTAAAGAGAGATAGCAGACAATAAGGAGATGTGTTTATCTTTGAAACATTCCGTCAATGTCCCCTGAGTTGCGTTTAATGCATCTTATGTTTTAAATCCACAGTTTATGTGAAAGTGAGAGATGTTGTCCTCCACCTGTGCCGATGGTGGACATATCCGACCTGGAAAAGCCTGAAATCCACTCGTGTACATCACCCCTATCAACCCCACGAATACAACCCAAAACCAGCAGGCCTCTAAAAGGCAAACCAGGAAGTGTGCACAGGAAACAGCTGTGGCCTGCATCCGCTCGCTCGCCCGTGCCAGGTGCATCCTGGGAAACTGAGCCATGTGTGACCGTCGATAGGCGACTGCTGCTGTTCCGGTTCTGAGGGTGGCCAGAAGATTCAAATAATCGAGAGAAACTGTTCTATGACATTGAGATAGTAAAAAACAACAAATAAAAGGAAGAGACAAGAATAGGTCATCATATTCTGAATCAAATCAATGTAATTGTGAGAGTTTTTGTTCTCAACATTGCATGGAAAGTCATCATATTAGAAAAAGTCAACCTAATATTTTTGTGTATTAATACAAATTTACTGGGGATCGTCAACATTTTACCATTAAAATAAACATCGAATATTCTCCCCCAAAAAACTTTGAACATCCATCCATCCACTTTCTGATCCACTTATCCTCACGAGGGTCGCAGGGGGTGCTGGAGCCTATCCCAATTGTCATCGGGCAGGAGGCGGTGGTAAACCCTAAACTGGTTGCCAGCCAATCACAGGGCACACAGAGACGAACAACCATCCGCGCTCACACTCACACCTAGGGACAATTTCGAGTGTTCCATTAACCTGTCACACATGTTGTGGGAATGTGGAAGGAGTACCCGGAGAACACCCACACAGGCCCAGGGAGAACATGCAAACTCCACGCAGGAAGACCCGGGCCTGGAATCGAACTCTGCACCTCTACACTGTGAGGCGGATGTGCTAACTAGTAAATAATCGTAATATTATTAAGAATAATTTCGTTGGAATTTATGCAACTTTACAATGATAATTAAAAAATAGTCTTCATGTTAACACATCAAAGTTAAAATAATAAGAAAAAATATGCTTAATTTTTACACGGAATCTTTTTCAGAATAGTCATCACAACAACCTATCGTAATAGTAAGAGCACAGCATAGTGATAATTTGTAACAGTAAATTGACAATTTGCAATAATGACAAAAGGTTGTTATAATGATATAAGAATATTATGTTAGAATCATAGTCATGTTATCAAGACAGAAAATATTTCAATTGTTAGCTGGATAGTCAAAATACAAACAAAAGTGAAATTTGCAATTCTGTTGATAAAAAATGTTACAATTTTACTGGGAAAATGCATTAATTATGTTAGAATATTTAAAAGGGGGAGGGGGGACTCAATGAAAAAAATAATGCATTCCTAATTTCATGAGAATAATGATATAGTAAGATGTGAGCGAAGAATATGAAAAGGGCAAGAACACACTCATTTACAACAATCAAGTCACAATATTACAATAATAAATTTCGACGAGAAAAGGAGTAAATCCGAGCAATTTCACGATAAAGTTGATGGTCATAATACCGGTTAGGCGTATTAGGACTCGTGTCATATTATTTATCTTCCTTATCTTTTGAACTGTCCAGGACAATGAGGCCAATAAGAGCAGCAGACGTGTTGCAGCAGACGAAGAGAGGAAGAGGAGGAGAACTTAGCGCATGTGTCCTGGCGAGTGTGCGCGCCATTGTTTGTCACTTTCTCCATCAATTGCACCGCGAATATTGCCCCAAACAATTAGCTCCTATGATCACTATCACTGTGCACACAATAGTGTTTACATGCTGCAAAGGAAACAAGGCCATGGAGTCCACTTGGTGGAGTGTGTCTCGTCTTGCTCTGTGTGTGTGTGTGTGTGTGTGTGTGTGTGTGCGTGTGTGTGTGTGTGTGTGTGTGTGTGCGTGTGTGTGTGTGTGTGTGTGTGTGTGCGTGTGTGTGTGTGTGTTTGTCCTCACTGTACAGTCTTCTGGGCTCCCTTCTATGTACTTTGAGAGCGGGAAAATTAAACACTGAAAGTATTATTTATTACTGGACATTATTCATCATTATTTCAAAAGCGCAATGTTTCAATATTCTCTCTCTCTCTCCGTCTGTGTGTGTGTGTGTGTGTGTGTGTGCGTGTGTGTGTGTGTGTGTGTGTGTGTGTGCGTGTGTGTGTGTGTGTGTGTGTGTGTGTGTGTTATCACATCAATGTACATTTTTTTTTTTTTTTTTTTTAAATGTAATTGTAAGTTTAAGTAATCGCTAATTACATTACATAGGTGACGCTTCCCCCACAGGAGGCGGCCATGTTTTGCTGCCATTTTTCTGCTACGGATACCTGAAGGAGACAAATTTAGTAGTTCCTCAACATCATGACCACAACAGTATAACACACCGTGCACTTACTTCCGTCACTGGAGGGACTACGAGAAATCGTTTGGGATAACGTTACGCTTGCATTTCTATTGAAAAATATTGATGGTATGCTTGGTGAGTTTGCCCCCAACCCACCGCAACCCCCTAAAAAAAGATAATGAAAAAGTACTGGGAGGCCCGGTGACCGAGTGGTTAGCATGTCGACCTCACAGTGCAGAGGTCGTGAGGTCGATCCCAGCTCCGGCCTTCCTGCGTGGAATTTGCATGTTCTCCACGTGTGTGTGTGTGGGTTTTCTTCGGGTACTCCGGTTTCCCCCCACATTCCACAAACATGCATGGCAGGTAAATGGAACACTCTAAATTGTCCCTAGGTGTGAGTGTGAGCGCGGATGGTTGTCTTTGTGTGACCTGTGATTGGCTGGCAACCGGTTCGGGGTGTCCCCCGTCCACTGCCCGAAGACAGCTGGGATCGGCTCCAGCACCCCCCTTGACCCTTGTGAGGATAAACAGATCAGAAAATGGATGGATGGATGAGAAAGTACTGAAAAATAATTAAAATGAATGAATCTGGGGTCCCTGAAGTCCAAGGTTATACAGGTCGGCATGAGGCTGAAAGGATGCGACCACTTTGAAAAAGCTGCAGTACAAAGAAAGTGATTGATATCTGGCTCACGTCTCCTGTCTCAGATTTTTTTTTTTGCCTCCTCAGGTGTGATAGTTTCTTAAAAATCATATTAGAGGTACAGGATGGGGCCAGAGAGGGCTGCTTGTAATAGTGACGGTGTCAATTTTTTTCCAGTCCTTTATGTTTTATTTTAATGTGTTGATGGCTTGATCAAGTGGAACTGCAGCTGCTGGATGCAAAGCAGCATCAGACAATACACCAAATATTTGCAGTCTGCATATTGACTCTCATGTGCGGCCACGATGATGATCATGATCATGATGATGATGATGATGACGATGATGATGAGGTCGGGCTACAGCTATAATACACCAATAATGGTGCTAATGACAGATTTGTCGCGCAGTTACTCAGCAAAGCGTTCTCTTTCCCAGGACCTCCAAGGTCACGCTACAGTCGCGCGGACATCATGATTGTGTGCGGGCGAGCGTCTGAGGAGGAAACCACCGAGGGAATGGAGAAAAGGTGCTGACCTCCAGTGTGCGACAGCCGCAGACGGCCTACCGCTCGCCCCGAGAACAAAGAGCAGGCGAGAGACGCATTTAGGAAGGAAGTCGGAGAGGAAAGTGGCCATGATGACGACTCTTACTGGCCATCAGCAACACAGGTGCGCTAATGCCAACGCATCCCAAATTCCCGTTCAAGTCCCATGAATGAAAAATGTTCCATCCTGCGACACACACACACACACACGCACACGCACACGCACACGCACACGCACACACACACACACACTTTGTACAGTAAAGAGGGGGTGCTTTTGAATGCAGCCTAAATGGTGCCCTGTGTTAGACCTCTCACATAAACAGTTTATTGTCGGATGGGGAATTGCATCAGGTGGTAAACTGATATTGACCATTCAATTTCTATCAAACTTGTTCTCATATGGGGGTGGGGGTGGGGGTGGGGGGATACAAACAGCACAAAGATTTGAACCCTGATTCTTAGAAATGTAGGGCAAATGTGCAGACCACTAGGCTACTGTGCTGCTGCATATTGATCATATCAGAATCATCATCTTTATTGGTCAAGTATGTAGAACACACAAGGAATTTGTCTCTGGTAGTACAGGTTACACTAGTATTATCAATAACAATAACAATAACAATAACATACACACACACACACACACACACACACACACACACACACACACACACACACACACACACACACACACACACCATACATACATACATACATACATATACAGTATATAATTACATATAATTATATATTATTATATATTGAGTGTGATTGGCTGGCAACCAGTTCCGGGCGTGTTCCAGCATGCCCGTGACCCTTATGAAGATAAGTGGATCAGAAAATGGATGGATGGATGGATTATATATTGACTATATTATTATAGCTAACCTTAAAAGAAGACAGTTGCATTCGCATTGAATTCCATTGAAATCTTTTTTTAGCAAGTCTCTCTTGTACCGTATAATCGCATAGATGTCTGTGTTCATGTGGGTGCTAGTAGTTCCTCAACATCATGACCACAACAGTATAACACACCGTGCACTTACTTCCGTCACTGGAGGGACTACGAGAAATCGTTTGGGATAACGTTACGCTTGCATTTCTATTGAAAAATATTGATGGTATGCTTGGTGAGTTTGCCCCCAACCCACCGCAACCCCCTAAAAAAAGATAATGAAAAAGTACTGGGAGGCCCGGTGACCGAGTGGTTAGCATGTCGACCTCACAGTGCAGAGGTCGTGAGGTCGATCCCAGCTCCGGCCTTCCTGCGTGGAATTTGCATGTTCTCCACGTGTGTGTGTGTGGGTTTTCTTCGGGTACTCCGGTTTCCCCCCACATTCCACAAACATGCATGGCAGGTA